TGAGGAGAGCTCTCCTCATAAAGCATTCTGGGATAAGATGGTTCAGACACAGTGAGCTATGGAAACAGCAAATTTTAAGACTAAAACAAGAGGGATCTTCCCCAAAATTGATGAAAATCCTCCACTATACCTTTAAACTCCATCTTTTCAGCACCAGGCTAACTGTAGGAACCATAATGGGTCATTTCTAAAAGGTGTTTGTCATAACCAGAGAAAATACTTCAACAGCAAACTAAGGAATTTAAACGTTTGGTCCCTGTACTGGCTGCAGGTTTGAACATAGAACCAGGGAATCTAATTTAAAAAAGTCTTTTACAAATGGAACATTTCACAGCTAAGCTTTTCCCTCCTTATAGGAAGTAAATCATACGGAGTGTACACAGAAAAGTCAGCATTTACTAAGCCAACAGCTAGGATTAGCACCGCTAGGCTACTTCTTAAACTTGGATTACCATGAGTTAGCTTGTAGCTCAGGGAAAAATCCAGTCTAATCGTAAAGAGATGGTTCTGGTCATCTTATGCTGATTACAGCCATGCTGGTATTATTCCACACTAATTGTGTTTTTGAGATCTAAAAAATGGCTGCTCTATATTGAAAAGAATCTGCAGCACTTGTGATAATCAGTGGGTTAAACACTCTTTGGTATACGCCTTTCAATAATTCTCTGCAGGTGTATCTTCATAAGATAGAACATGGTATTTCAAAAAGTAAAGCTTCAATTCGGAGTCTATTTGTGAAAAATTATGACCACAAAGGACTATAATAATAATCATTTTCGTTAAAGTAAGAAGTGTTTCTGGCATGATGTTATTTTCTAATCTGAAATGTCACAACAGACTGAAATAAAGACTTTTTGTGTGTAATTGAATTGCTGAAATAACTTCTTTAACCTTGAATATGACTGTATCTAGGTGACATCAATAATGGAATATTTGAATTAATTATAAAGGTCTTCAATATTTACCATTTTGATGATTCTGGCTTACAGTTCAACTCAAATAGAGCTTTAGACTGACTCCAATTGTAGCTCCTATTCTTTCACCTTTTGCAGGGTCGACGGTAAAAAAGGTACTCTATACTACTGTGCTGAATACAGACAGCCTTCATTAAGCAACAAACACATGAATGAAGCCGATCACATTAGAATTACCCAAAAAAAAAAAAAAAGTTAACCTCCATGAGGTGAGCTATGCCGCCTGTCACCCAAGAGATTGTGGGAAACCATACAGAACCTACAAACCTCAGGAGGTTCCAATGCATACGGCCATACATTGTACGCCCTGTTTTTGGAAAGTTTACCCCTGGAAACTATGCTCAAATGTTCAAAATTTCCAAAGCAGCCGATGCTGGAGTTGGAAAAAATTGAACTTTTGCTGCTCGACATGCCACGTCAACCAATCAGAGAAGCTGGGCAGGGAGACTGATGCAGATTGCAATGATCACTCCTCTGAAACAGTTTATTAATGCCTGAATTAACTTAAAATGTCGAAACCTGGCGGCAAAATATGTTTGCTTTTATTATCCTGGTGCCTGCAGTTTGTACCACATACCTGAAAAACGCTTACATCTATGACCAGCCGCGACCAACAGTAGAGGAAAAAATTCAAAGAGGTGACAGGGCCTGAGGACGCTGCTGCTGGGGATTCCCAGTGACAGCGCACCGCCGCTATGTGGGAGTCTGAGCGGCTCCAACAGAGAAATAATATTTTAAGGCAGGATGGTAATCTGGATGAACTGATTGTATAGACGATGTTTTCAGGTGGACTTTCTTACACAAAAATATGTTAAAACTACTTTTTATCAACTTATCGCAACAAATGTAGCAAAGCTGCTCTCTGCCATTTAACACAGGAGCAGCAGAAGCATCTGGATTTATTTTACTGCAGGACCCATGCACGGAGGCCTTCGTCCTCAACCCGGGTTTGAACCTGGCCTGTGGTCCTTTTCTGTCAGCCTACTGTCGAAAAAACGAGCCACTAGTGCCGTAAAAACTTCAAAAAAAAAAAAAAGATGGTCCTCTGAGCAGCGTCAGAAATAAAGCAGCAGCGCCTTTTTTTGCTGCAAAAAGCGCAAGGGATGTGAACGTGGCATTACACTATGAA